AGTGGGGACAGAGAAAAAAGAGAAGTCAGACAGGGTGCAGGAGGGAGAACAGATCTCACAACTGTCTCTCCGAGTTTATTTCTTATGCTTCTCTTTATACATAATCTGTTTCTTGGTGTATCCCAAGATGACATAATTAAAGTAACATCCTGAAGATCGAGGTACAATCGACACTTCCTTTGACACTCCCTTCGACACTCCCTTCGACACTCCCTTTGTCTATACTTAATCTTCTTCTTCCTGGAATTCCACAGAACCAGCCTTTTCCCTTTTTTTATGCAAGCAGGCCTCCCGAGATAATCCATGCACTCTTTTGAATTTGGGGAGCTTTAGCTCCCTACACATAAGTATTTCGGAATGTTTATAGGCAGTGTATTTTAAGGTAGTTCCATAAGAGTACATATAGATCTATCACCTAAAAATACATATATTTGTATTTTTTACCTTCCACTTAAAAATTTTACTTTTTAAAATTAAGGCAATGCATGCTATGATTAGAAATGTGAATAGTATCGAAGAATACAAAATCAAAGCTAAGGATTCTTTCTCTCCTCACGCTCATTCCTAGTCCTCAACTGTAACCACTGTTGTTTCTTTTATATTTTTCCAGGAATACTTTATGTATTTATATGTTTCTATACATCCTTGAAAATATTCATAGAAGTGTCATCATACTTATTCGTTTGTTCATAAATATTTGTTGATAAAAAGCTGAAATAAATTTTAAAACTTCATTCAACCACAGGGCTTTTTAGCTAAAGGGCAGTAGCTAGCCCCAGTTCAGCTCTGGCAGATTGTCATCATGTAAGAACATAAATACAATGAAACCAGATTTTCCTTTTTTTAAGAGATGCCAGAAGTGCAAAATTTTTATATGAAACCTCCCAATTTTAAATCTTTCTAATAACAGTTTATTGAACTTCACCTGTTAGGTGCTGGGATACAATAGTGAATCAAACTTGTATTCTAGTGTCAAGAGAAAGAGAATAAACAAGTGAATAGATATATATTAGGTGATCATAAGTGCTGTGAAGATAAATAAGGCAGGGTAAGGGAGACAGCAGAATGTTACTTTACATAGATGATCATGGAAGGCCTCTGGGAAGGTGACATCTGAGCAAGGACTTGAAGAAAGTGAGAGACAGAGCCATGTAGATGACTGGGGAACTCATTCTAGGCAAAAGGAATAGCAGGTGAAAAGGCCCTAAGATGAGAGCATACTTGGCATATTCAAAGATCAGGAATACACTAATGTGGCTGAAGCAAAGGAGGAAAGTGGAAGCAGATGGGCCTGAGAAGTTGGAGTGATAGTGTGTAGATCATGTAAGGCCTTTTAAGCTGTAACAGTGACCTTTAAAATTAACCTGTGTGAAATAGAAGACCACTGGATGATTTTCAGAGGAGTGAAATGATCACGTTTAGGTTTTAAAAGACTCATTCTAGCTTCTTCCTGGAGAATAGAACCAGGGTTCCAGTTAGAAAGCTGTCACAAAAGATGATGTAATATTCATAGAAGTGTCATCATACTTATTCATTTGTTCATAAATATTTGTTGATAAAAAGCTGAGTAATAGTTGAGGAAATAGAGAATAATTCAGTTTCAGGATATATTTTGAAAAGAGCTGACAGGATTTGCAGATTTATTTTCTAATTTTAATTTATTTTTATTTATTTGTTTATTTTTAATGAGCATGCGAAGAAAAGACTATAAATATAGGAGGCCTGGATAAATGGTGAAATGGAGTTGCCACATACTGAGACAGGATGACTGTAGAAGGAACAAGTTGTTCAACTTTACTTTTGTTACAATTGTTTTTAACCACTTTGCGAAAGCTTAAAACATTATGGCTAAAATTATGATTGGGACTAATGGTCTTTGAACATTTTTCCCAGTGCCAATTATTACTCCCTCAGTGGCAAGTAATTATTATCATTTTGGGGTGTGTGCGTGTGTCCTAGAATCTTTTCTTTTTCTGTTTTTAATATACAGATATATATTATAGCCACAGGAAATATAAGTGGTATTTTTATATAAATATTTCATACCAAAAATATTGTTCTACAGCATACATTTTTCACTTAACAGTACGATCTGTTAGATCTACCTCATTCCTTTTAATCCACTCCGTAGTATTTCATAGCATGGGTCTACCACCATTTTTTACTTTAAATATTTAGGTCGTTCTAACAAATATTACTTCAGTGAATATTCTTATACACATGTACAAGTGTTTCTGCAGGTTAGGTATCTAAAAATGAAATTGTAGTGTGGTAGGGTATATGAATTTAAAATTTTAATAGATACTACCAAAAGCCCTCTGAACTTAACAGCAGTCTGTGAAAATGCTTCTTTCCCCATACCCAGTGAAACAGGAACATATAGGTAAGAGGTAAGAAAATTTTTGAAGAAAAAATATTAATTTATTATGATTTGGAAAATTAGTTTCTCTATTTTTTATGTGAATTGGGAAGGTTTCACTTTTCTATATTATGGAGATGCTTAATATGCCTTTTATGCAAATAAGGTGTTTTGAGAATTATTAGAATAATTACAAGTGGATTTTACTAAGTATATATAAGTTTATATATTGACTATGAGCTACATCCTAATTTTGTTTCTGAATTGTTTAGTGGAAAGAGATGTTAATGGAACATTGTTGTCTCAAGCAATTTGTAAACTCTGTGACGAAAACGAAAACTCTCTTACAGTATCGAATGCTTTAGGAAACAGGTAAGCAGTGTGCTGGGTCCTAACTTCATTAAAATCATATTATATTTATGTAGAATCATATTATATTTATGTAAAAGTATTTTCCTATATCATTTGCTCCTCACAATAACCCAAGGAAGGGTAGAAGCAGACATAACAGCTAAAGAAGCTGAGGCTCAGAAAATGAGACAGAATAGGGTTCAACTGTTTCAGTCTCTTATCAGTTGTTTGACCTTGAATATCTCAATAATTCAGGCTCCTTGTCTTTTGGATGGGGATATATTACCCATTTCATAGGCTGTTATCACAGCTTAGAAGTAAATACGTTAAGTTCTTAGCATAGTGCTACAGAGTTAGTGCTTAGTAAAAGGTATCTATTTTTGTTTATTATGTCATTTGTACATGATCTGTAATATATACTACATAATAGTGACTTCTATTTGCAGAATACTTACTACGTGTCAGGTATTGTGCTTTATATATTATATTACATAAGAAAACTAATATAATGATAAATATAATAATTCAGGTACCCTGATTTGTAGCCCTGTTCTCTATCACTTTCTGTTCTCCCTTTATGCATGCATGTGTGCACACCACACACACATTCCACCCTCTCTGTAACTCATATATATTATTCCTATTCCAACTTATTCAGTTTTAGAGGCTGCATGATGACTTCCCTCTAAGTACAATTTTCTCTTCAGTTTTCAAATTTAAGATAGAAAATACTTGAGCACCTTCTCCTGAGGATACTTAGTGTTGGGTCATCTTTTCTCTCCAGCTGACCTTGGTTGTAGCACCCAAATATGGACTACTGGGCTGATCCCCAGGTCTTCCCCTACAATACTTACCTAAGCTTAGTTCAAGTTCTGTGCCATGCCCCAGCCCCTCCTCCTACATTCTCATTGGTGTCCCTACTAGTTCTGTGCCCACCCTCCCTCTATATTATTCATTAATGAAAAAATATAAAATATTTTCTTAAAATAAACCAAGATGATGAATAGACTTTAAAAGTGTTGGTTGTAGGTTTGATGAGAATTAGAAACTTGTGGGGTGTTTTTTTTTTTTTTTAGCATGTCTTACCTTTTTGTTTTGTGGCAGATAAAATAAGGAAAACATATTTGTTATAACTACTTACAAAAATGGATTGGGTTTCATTTATATGAGTTTGTTGGGCTCTTTTGTTAATTGAGTGACTTTACCGTCTTTGCTGTTCAGTACTGTTTATTCTTTACATTCTATCTGGTTTCAAAAGAATGCTCTCCTATTATTATTTTATTGACTTATTCATTGCCTTGTAATAATGAGTGGTATAAAACTATTCAAATCAGTGTTAATATTTTTAATTTGTTTACTTTATTACAAGTAATGTTTAACTGACTGAATCTATTCTAATCTAGTGTTTAAGAGTATAAGTTTTCAATTAAATTAGGTTTAGTATAATTAATTAACATTTAAAAATTATTTTGTTATATTGACAGGTGTATCCGATGCGAGTCAACATTCATTAATACCAGCAGATCCTGTGCATGTTCAGAACCTAACATTTTAGTAAGGCTAATAAAATCGATAAAGTATATATTTTTAAATTAAATTGCTTTTACTGTTCCATAACCAGTTCATTTGTTTGTTTGTTTATGTATTTCTGTATTAAGGCAGGGGGATTATGTTTCAGCAACACTAGGAATTTTCCTCGTATGATTTCAACTGCACGTTATGGAGAGCTTGTGAGTATGTTTAAATTTTTTGTTTCATTGTTAAGGACCTTTCTGTATTTTTTGGTAGTTAATCTGGGACTAAAGTGAGAAATGTGCAAATTACTTCAAAATAGAAATTATCAGTCAAAAAAACATTAGACTAACAACATGGCATTATAATTTATAAATTTAGTTATTGTTTTCTCTATCTTAACTCATTCCTTTTTCAGCGAATCTCAGAATGTCTAAGCTGGAAAGGTCCTTCATCAATCTATAAAGAATGCAGTATGATATAGTTAAGAGACCAGAGACTCTGGATTTCAACCCTGGATTTACTAGTCATTAGCTTTGTATCTTGGGACTTAGTTACCATTTTTAAAACTTCAGTTTTATTGTCTATAAGTTGGACGTAATAAAAATACCTATCTCATAGTGCCTAGACATGGTAGTCACTTGAGAAATGAGGATTATTCGTATCCAGCCAGGTTCCTTATTTATAGATGAGAGCATGTTGGCATAAAGTTAGAGCTTTTGTAACAGATGCTGGTGATGACAATGTTGGGTGTAAAATGGGAATAAGTGGGTAAATTAGAACTGAAGAGGTCACGAATCCAAGAGAATAGGAGTTAGGTGACTGAGAGTTAGTTGATAAACACAAAAGATACTCAGAATGCCAGCAGAGCTTGGGGCAGACAGGCTAGAATCTGGTTGCTAAAATCATCATTGAATGAGTGAGAGCTATTAGGGCTGTGAGGATAGCCATGATGAGGGTGGAATCTGGGATCTTGATAAACAAAGCAAATATTTCTCTCTAGTATAATCTTGTAGGATGACAGATGAATACCAAGTATTTACAAAACAACGAAATAAATGCTAAAATAGGGCTATACATAGGGAGCTTGAGATCATAAAAATTGGTTGTTTGTAACAAGATGCATGCCTTCTGGGGCATTCTTCTTTGGTCTTGGATTATAGTGAACTTCTGTATACCATTATCAAATTTGTAGGCATTTAATATTCATTTTTTTGTTTTCAAAATAAGTTGAAATAATTTGCTGAAAGTCCCAACAATGTCTCTTTTTCATAGTTGGCCTCAGATCACCAATCATTTAGGTCATATACGTTTCAGTTTCCTCCAGTCTGGAACACGTCTTCAGTGTTTCCCTATCTTTCATGAACTTGACAGTTTTGAAGATTATAGGCCTTACAATCTATAAGGTGATCCTTGACTGCATTCTATCTCATCTTCCTTCATAATTAGGACATGCTTGGCAGAAAACCACACACACACACACAAAAATGTAGTGCTATTCTCAGTGCATTGCATCACATCAGGGGGCACATGATGTCCATGATGTCTACTTGCCCCACCAATACTGATGTTAACCTGCCATAAAATCATCATTTTCCCTTCACAATTAGTATTTTTGAGGAGAAATTTTAAGATTACACTTCCTTTTATTCACTAAACCTTAACTTAGTAGTTTTAGTCTCCATTGATGACACCTTTAACCACTACTATGATGGTTGCAAAATCTTTTCGTCATTTCTCCCACATTTATTAAAACATTCTCCTGTAAGGATTTTCCCTTCTTCCCATTTATACATTTATTTATTAATGGCAGTATGGATTCGTGAATTCTAGTTTTATTCAATTGGTTTTAATCCAATACATGTATTTGTTTTGGTGCTCAAATTGTCCTAGATTTGGCCAGTTGAAGCTCTTTTCCACATGTCCTCATCATTCTTCGGTCATTTCCATACTTCTGACACAACAAGATTTCCAGGTTTTCTTGCACTTTTTCTGCCTCAACCCTGGAATCAGCCATTTCTCTTAGCAGCTCTTAAGGATGATATTTAGAAACCAAGATTACCACACTTAGTCTGCCTTCTTAGCAGACATAGCTAGAAAATATATATACATTTACATATATACATAAACACATCTATCTTGTTTATATATTACAATAAATGAGCTCATATGGATGCTTTCAATTCCAAAGAGATATTTCAGAGTTCGTTTTAGCCTTTCCTTTTGACAGTAGTGAGACTTTTTTTTTTTTTTTTTGGTGTGCTGCCCAGGAAAGTAATGAGACTTTCGATAGTATCTTCTCCAGTAGTGAGAAATCTGGGTCCATCCTCAATTTACCCATTTGCTCAATATAACTCGGCTCTCTTCCACACCACCTCCATGTGCTCCCTCCCTACAGCACCACTGTGCATTAGATCCACGTCAGCTTTCTCTGCTAGGAAGGGAAGGTGGGCAGGAAAGGGCTATTCCAGTCTTAAAGTTCATCTAATTCAGTTAATGTACTTCATTTAAACCTACCAGTCTTGAACACTGGTGCTTTTCTAAGGACAAGTTTGGAATCCCTAACTTTAAGTCATTTTTTAATTTGGCTTATTTTTGTCTGGGAAGCTCTTTAAAATATTTTTCGTCTTTATTGAAATATAATAGACAATTAGTTTCTTGTATTTTCATTGTACAAGTCAATGAATTTTTTTCCACTTATAGTTGGCATACAATAATGTACCAGTTTCAGTTGTATAGCATAGTGATCAGAGATCCATGTAACTCACAAAGTGATCACCCCACTAAATCTGGTACCCCTTTTTCCCCTTATGTATTTATTACATTATTAACCATCTTCCCCATGCTACACTATACAGCTCCATGCCTATTCTGCAACTATCTATTTGTACCTCTTAATCCCTTTGCCTTTTTTTGTCCCCCCCAACCTCCTCTCCCATCTAGTATCCCTCAAAATATTCTCTGTATCTGTGAGTTTATTTCCACTTTTTTTGTTGTTGATTTTGTTCTTTAGATTACACACGTATGTGAAATCATGCGATATTTGTCTTTATCTGACCCATTTCATTCAGCGCAATGCCCTCTAGGTCTTTTTCCACCCCCTTCCTTTTAGTCTGTGTGTGTTTTGTAATCTGAAGTGAGTCTCTTGTGGGCAGCATATATAGGGGTCTTGTTTCCATTCAGCCATTCTTTGTTTTGGTTGGAGCACTTAATCTTTTCCATTTGAGGTACTTGTTGATAGGAATGTAGTTATTACCATTCTTTATTCCTGTTTTCGATACATGTTTTTTCTTCTTAAGGAAGTCTCTCCACCATTTCCTGTAATACTGGCTTGGGATTCCTAAATTTCTTTTGCTTTTTTTGTCTGGAAGCTCTTTATCTGTCCTTCAACTCTAAATGAGAGCTTTGCTGGATAAAGTATTCTTGGTTGTAGGTCTGGGTTTTCATCACGTCTAATATTTTGTGCCAAGCCCTTCTGTCCTGCATAGTTTCTTTTGAGAAATCAGCTGCCAATCTTATGGGTGCTCCCTTGTAGGTAACTAACTGCTTTTCTCTTGCTGCTTTTAAGATTTCTCTCTTTGTATTTAGCTTTTGGTGTTTTCATTATGATGTGTCTTGATGTGGGGCCTCTTTGGGTTCCTGGTTTTTGGGACTCGCTGAGCTTCCTGGGGTTTTATGTCTATTTCCTTCACCAGGTTAGGGAAGTTTTCTATCATAATTTCTTCAAATAGCTCTTCAATGTCTTGTTTTCCTTCAGGTACCCCTACTTCATGGATATTTTTACCTTTAATTATGTCCCATAGGCTCCTTAAATTATTATTATAGTCTTGGCTTCTTTTTCTTGCCATTGTGATTGAGTGTCCTTGCCTTCTCCATCCTCTACATCAGTGGTTCAATCCTCTTCTTTATCCACTCTGTTGCTTCCATCTAATATACTCTTCATCTCGGATAATGTGTTCTTCATCTGACTGGTTCCCTTTTATAATTTCCATTTCCATTTTTATGTGTTTTATCTCTTTGTCGGAGTTCTCACTGAATTCATCTATCCTTCCCCTAAGTTCATTGAGCATCTTTAGAACCAGTGTTTTGAACTCTGTATCTGTTAGATTGCTTGATTCCATTATTTCTGGATCTCTGTTCTCTTCTCTCATTGGGTTTCTGCTTCTTTGTCTTCCCATTTTGGCTGCCTTTCTATGTCTATTTGTATGTATTAAGTAAAGCTCCTAAGTCTCCCGGTCTTATTAGTGTGGCTTTGTGAGGTAGGTGTCCAGTAGCACAGCCTAAGAGGGTTCAGCTGCAGGCCAAGTTTAGCCCCAACCTGTGCCCTTCTGGGGCCACCTGTTAAGATTCAGCAAGCAATCCACAGATTTTGTGCTTATAGTTGCCTCAAAAGGCCACATCAGAAACCAAGGCCAGCTGCCCCCAGCATGAGTCTAGGTGCAGCTCATCAAGGAGCACCTGATTCACTGAGGACACACCTGTATGTGGCTTGGGTGGGGCCACGAGTTGGAGGAAGCAGAGTTTCAGGGAATCCTCTGGGCAGAGCGACCTGTTATCCAGTTTGATGACGTCTCAGCTATGGCAGCACTGAGTCCACACACTGGGAAAGGGGAGGGCTCAACAGAGGAACAATGGATACTGCCAGCACTTTTCTATAGACTGAGTCTCGCCTCAACCCTCACTCATACAACTCAGTGTTCCCCTGTAAGTCTCTGATGCCCCCTGTGCAGCCGAACCGGCACTGGTGCTGGGAGTGAGCAGGTCTGTCACCGCGAAAGTCTGCTCATGGACATGGTCCCTTTAAGAGGCATCTGCAGCTGCTGGCTGTAAGTTATTTTATAACTGGTGTTCAGACTGGTTCTATATAGCCAGTGTATGAAACATGTCAAGAAAATGTAGTTTAGATGGTGTGACTATCTTGGCTCAGTTCTCAACTTGGCACGTATAAAAACTCAGTTTTATCAGTGCAGTTGGATGTCAGTCAGGTTCTAAGGGACCAGTTCAAAGTAATTAAACGCTCAAGAGATTAGAATGATAAACCAATATACATGTTTACTGGTTTATGTTGAAACCGTAATTTCCAGCTCGACTAAAATACTTCTATTGACTTGATAATATACACTTTCTAGTTGGAAAGTGTACTTAGAACATTACAGGGAAGATGCATGCTTCTTTGGGTAATACAGAATTGAAATGTAATTAATTAGTTTTGTATAATTTTATAAGCAAAGCATCAGGTCTTCCTCTAGAAATACTTTACTGCCAATCAGTAAAGAATTTCCATATAGATGGGTCATTATCTTCCCATTCTCTTTCCCCAGAGATATTAATAGTGATCTCACATATTGGTTTTTGTTTTTCCCAAAACTTTTATTTTGAAAAATTTCAAAATTGCAGGAAAATTGAAAAAATAAGACAATTATTATATATATGTCTTTTACCTAGGTTAACCAATTTTTAATGTTTTGCCACATTAGCTTTATATCTGTTATGTAAATGCAGGCACACACACGCACTCATGCACATATTTTTTTCTGAGCCACTTAAAAATAAATTGTAGATGTATGGCATTTTACTCCTAAATACTTTATTATGTAGCTTCTAAGGAAAAGGGCATTTTTCTGGCATCACACCTGAGAAATTTAAAATTAATATTATAGAATTACCTTATATACTAGCCATATTGAAATTTTCCCACTTGTTTCAATAATGTACTTAATGTACTTTTGAGGGGGGCAGGGTCCAGGATACAATAAAAAAAAAATACAATCAAGGATCTCACATTATAGTGAGTCTTTTTAGTCTTTTTTAATTTAGAACAGAGCCCCTGCTCTGTTTTGCTTTTATGTTTCTTTCTTTCTTTCTTTCTTTTTTTTTTTACTTTTTTTGCTTTAATGACATCAGTTCTTGCATAAAGCCAGCTTCCATGTAAAGTGTCCCACAATCTGGATTTTTCTTATTGTTTTCTCATGATTAGATTTAGTGAAATATCTTTAAGCAAGAATATGATATAAATGTGTGTATAGCCCATTACATCAAAACAAGGAGCACATAATGTCAGATTGTCCAATTATTGATGATGCTAAATTTGATTGCGTGGTTGTAGTAGCGTTTGCCACTTCTCTCTATTGTAAAGGTACTGTGATTAATAAGTTAATCTGAGATTTTACTTTGAGACTATGTAAATATCCATTTTAGCAGCCATTGATAAACTTTGTCTGAATCAATTATTAAATTGGTTATTTCAAAATGATTTCACAATTTTATTTTCTTTGTGTATATTAGTTAGCAATCTCTTGTAAAGAGCACTTTCTTTCTGTGCCTTTTTTTTTTTTTTTTTTGCTCTACTGTGAACTCATGGACTTTTTGTTTATTGTGTTTTATGATCTGTTACAGTTATTTTTCTTTTCAAAGCTCAAATTATCCCAAATTTGTACTTTCCTTTGAGATAGCTCTTGTGTTATTTTGACATGTCTCCATCAGTCTTTAGGCATTACCTTGGTTTCTCTATAACATGTTTCATACTCAACCAATATAATTATGATTTTAAATAGTCACATAATACTGTAGTTTATGCCACAAATATTACCTCCATTGAATATCTAGGTTTTCTGTTTTTAATAATATTGCTGTCATCCATTTTATTCATATAGATATGTTTTTCCTTTTGGAAAGATTATTGCCTTAAGATAAACTTCCTCAGCATTTCTACATTCCTGGGTTAAAGAGTATAGATTTTGTTTTATGAAAGGATTATGCAACTTTAATACTATAACTGGCACTATCTATGGCTTCATTTTATATGCATTTGCCAGTACTGTTGTCATTGCTTTCCATTTTTACTAGTTTTTTTATGTGGTTCAACTTTCTATGCATGTTTTTTCTTACAAAATGAGAGCTTTTGCTTATTGAAGAGGTGGAAACAGTGACTCATAATTTTATTTTAACTTTTTTTGATAGCCGTGGTACCATGTTTCATATGAGTTGGTTTTATCTCCTCTGTCCATGTCCAGAGAACTTATTCTGAGTGGTGCTTCTCAGTGTCTTTTAGCAATATATGCAGATAAGATTTAAAGCAGTGCTTAGAGAGGCTTGTATTTGAAGCTTTCAGGGCACATGTATGCTTTGGTCTCATCCTGGAGATTCTGATTCATTTGGTTTGGAAGGAAGCCATGCATTTTCTGTTTTTAGGAAATTCCACAGATGATTCTGCTGCCTACCATTTTGGAATTTTAAATATTAGTTACTCAACATATCAGTCACCTGTTGCTTAGAAATCATTCACAAACATTTCTTTTTTTATTACTTTCTAACTTAATATAGTATATTAATCCTAAATCAGCAGATGTTAAGCATTCAGTACTAAGTCAGTATCTAGGTTTTCTATTTTGTGACACTTTGTTTTTTGTAGTAGTGAAGTGGACATAATAGTTTTTTAGATTATAGAAACACGTTTCCCTGTATCTTCTGCCTAAGTGACATGATTTTGTAATGCAGTCCTATTTGTATAATTGACATTGGTTTGCATTATTTCTTATATTCCCATTAGAATCTACTTTTCTAATAATGTTGAGAAAGTAATGTTCATCTTTTAACATTCAACAATATGTGTATTAATATCTTCCTAACAGTGTAAGATTAAGGAATATTCATTTGAACTCAAAAGTAAAATTCAGCTTTTTGCTTGCAGGGCATGTCTTTCACTTCAGAATGGTTTGCAAAGTATTTGCAATCAGCAGCAGCTGCTTGTTGGGTAAGGTTAGATTTTTTTTTATTAGTTTCAAGTTACAGTACATCGTAAGTTTGGATTTTTAAAAAGTAATTTTATATCATTTTGAAGAATCGTACTATTTTTTCCTCAGATAATAAAATATTTCTCTCTATTTATATATATCTCCTTGGTCATATACTATGAGAAGAATAAACCCTTTCTAGTAGATTAAAAGAGAATAAAAGAAATAAAGAAATAAAAGAATAAAAGAAATAAAATGTTACTTATTTCATACTTTGTTGTATGTTGTATACAAATTTAATATCTGTACGCTTATTCAGCTGGAATTTAGTGTTAGGGGAAACTGATTCATACTGTCATTTAGTAAATGTTTATTGATGACCTACTCTGTGCCAGGCCCTATTCTTAAGTTAGGTTATGTATTTCAGAAAAAGATAGAAAAAAAATCTCTTGTGGAATTATTGTCTAAGTATAATTGTCATGTCAGATGATGCTAAGTGCTATGAAGGCAAATAAATCAGGATAACGTAGAGAATGGAAGGAGGTGCTATTTTATTTTGGGTGGTAGGACAGGCATCTCTAAGAGGATGATATTTGAGTAGAGACCTGAAGGAAGTGAGAGTGCACCATGTAAAGGGAAGAATGTTCTAAGCAGAAATCATAACAAGTACAGAGGTTCCAAAGCAGGAGTTATCTGGTTTTTTCATACTTAAACTGGAAATAGGCTGGGGTGGCTGGAGTACAGTGAGCAGGGAAAGTGGAAAAATGAGTTCAGGGATGAAGGGAGTGTCTGTGGCAAGGACCTGGAGCTTACTTTAAGGGAAGTAGAAAGATTTTATGCTAAGGAAGACATGATCGAACTTCAGTTTTTCAAATGATCACTCTAGCACAGAGAGTAGATTATGTTGGAGCAAGGACAGAAGCAGGGAGACTATTTAGGAGAGTATTAGAGTAATGCAAGTAAGGGATGGTGGACCCAAGGACAAGGGTGGTACTACTGTAGGAATGAGACACACTTTTGGATATGCTTCTGGATATATTTTGAAGATTGAGCCAACATGATTTACTGAAGAGTTTGATATAAGAAGGGAGAAAAAGAAGATCACTCCAATATTTTGACATGAATAACTGTAAAACTGGAAATGCCTTTTTCTGATAGGGAGAATCGAGAAAGAAGTTTTAGGGGCAAACTCAGTAAATTATCTTATTATTCATAAAACAAATTACTTAAACAAAATATATTAGATTTATATATATAAGATCTAATATGCATTTTTTCAAATATAATTATTCTACTTAATAGCTTTTAGTTAGTTCTTTCAATTGCTTGTCTTTATATTTCAGCCTAAAATATACACATTATTCTTCTGACATATGGCAAGTTCTAATGTACTTAAACTAGAGGAAAGGTATCAAAAGTAAAAAAAAAAAAAAAAAAAAAAAAGGGTTGGAAAAAAAGGAGTAAAATTAAAATCAGGCCTTATTTTTTGTGGTTGCGTTTTTCTTTTTTTATTATTATTATTAGTTTAAAAGACAGTACATCGGTTCGATATTTATATAGTTTATAAAACAATCCCCCTAATTGTTCTTTCTCTCTTCTGGCTCTCTACCTAGCCATTACATTAATGCTAACTGCATTCTCTATGCTGTGCTCCCCATCCCCATGACCATCTATCAACTAGTAATTTGTATTTCTTTAACCCTTAACCCCTTTCTTCTACCTCCCAACCTCCCTCTCCTCTGGCTGTCACCAAATTGTCCTTTATATTTGTGTGTCTGTTTTTGATTAGTTTGGTTTTTTTGTTCCTTAGATTCTGCATATAAATGAAATCGTAAGGTATTTATCTTTCTCTGTTTGACTTATTTCACTCAGCACAATAACTTGTAGGTCCATGTCGTTGCAAATGGTAGGATTTCATTTTTTTAAGGGCTGAGTAATAGTCCATTGTATATATGAACCATAACTTCTTGATCCAATTGTCTGTTGATGGGCATTTAGCTTGCTTCCATACCTAGGCTATTGTAAATTGTGCTGCCATGAACATAGGGTTGCATACATCTTTATGATCAAGCCTTATTTTATATCAACTTTTGCTTAGGGTTTTAAAGTCCATATTATATTTCTTGCCATTGTTCTGTTGTAGGTGTATGCCAATCTAACATCTTGCCAAGCTCTTGGAAATATGTGTGTGATGAACATGAATTCTTATGACTCTACCACTTTTGATGCATGTTGGCTGTTTCAGTTTGTCTTTGAAAATACTGCTGGACTGCGCACTGTTCATTCTGTTCCATTTTGGTAAGGCTATTCTGATTGATGAACTGTCATTTTAACCAAATTCAGTGTAGTTACTTTCACAAATATTAATAATAAATATTGCTTCTCCACTATTAAAATAATTGTAATTGTTTATAGGAGGCAGAATCTTCCTTGGCTGTTCTACGGAGATCAACTAGGATTAGCACCTCAAGTACTCAGTACTACACCTCTTCCTACAAATTTCAGTTTTAAAGGACAAAACCAGGTACAAGTCACTATATTATTAAAGCATAACTACATTTTGATTTATAATTTGAAAAGGTAATAAGAATATTACTAGTTATAACTCTTGCTTCTTTAGGCTATTTTTAAAAATTTAATTACTAAACTAAATCTAAACATCAGCTAATTATAGTAACTAAACAATATAGAGTTTAGCTGTCTTACTTGAGTACATATGTGGATATGTCTGGATTACACGATTATGGCAGTAAGTAGTACTTGTGGGGTTGGGAAGGGTAGGTTTCATCACCAAATGCAAAACAGTCTCTGTCCTTCTATATCTAAATATTTAAGAAGTGCTTCCAAGCACTGATAGGCTCTGTGCCATTTCTCTAGCACTTCACAGGTCCAAATTCTCACCTCCAACTTTTTGACCTTGTAGAATTAAGTAATAGGTTATCTCCTCCTCTACCCCTCACCCCACAATTTAACAAGTTTGAAACACTGCCCCTCAATTCTGAAATAATAGCTTTCATGCAAAAAAAAAAAGTTCTATTTACTTTAGGTGTGTTCGGTCATAGAGATACTTGATTTTGCTTCAAAGTAAAGGTAGTTAAATTTAATATTTGATCTCTGGGGGAAAAAAAGGATCAGTCATCAATGAAAATTTCTTTTTCTTTTTTCCCCCCTCTTTAATTGCCACCCCCCCTCTTCCACCCCTGACCTCTGACCTATGGATATTGCCATTTCCCCTTAGGAACTGGATCTCTGAAGGTGGGGCATCCCCTCCCACACACTCATGGAGTGCACCTTGGGTCTGGTGCACCTGGGGCCTGGCACCTCCGGGGCCTAGTGCATCTAGCACACTCGGGGAACCTGGTGCACCCAGTGTATGGTCCGTGGCTCCACCTGGGGCGCGAACCCAAGACCTTCTGTGTGTAAAGCAGACGTGCTAACCACTACACTATGGAGCCACCCCCTGAAAATTTCTTTATAGAATATTATATTGCTTTTAGAGTATGTGATATTATTTTTTTCTTATTTTTCTTTAACCAGAATACAAAAATGAAATTTGTTGCTGCTTCCTATGATGTAAAGGGAAATTTTCTCAAGTGGCAAACTTTGGAAGGTGGTGTTTTACAGGTGAGAATGATTCAAAGTAAAATTTTACTAATGTGCCTCCTTTTTGCCTGAGAAAAGACCAGGTTATTGTTTGAATGGAGCATCAGTTGTATCTGCAGTTAATTTTTTTCTTGTGCTTTAAATTGGAATTTCTTAAAACCACTTTGAGTTATGACTTTAATTTATAACAAAGATGCTCCCTTAACTTTTCATACCTGTAGTACATGAAATAAATATTATGTAAAGCATGTATTCATGTTGTTGGGGCTTAAGAATGCTTGACTAGAAAAGCAAAGAACATTTATGAGAGATGTTTATCAGTTGTATTCTTTTGCTGTAGCTTTGTCCAGACACAGAGATCAGACTAAATGCTGCATATTCTTTTGGAACAACCTATCAACAAAATGTAAGTTTGAACTGTATTAGTCTGTTTTTTAGCTTCTTTTTCACCTCAGCATAATTGGAATAATCTTTGAATTTTTGAAATTGGAAATGTTTTTAATAGTAATGAATAATTTCACTGATTAATATAATTTTATTATCTGGGTACAGAAAATCTTAACCACCATAAGAGTACCTTGTTCCCTACAGTGTCTTATACATCATATGATGTTAAATTTTCATAATTGTTGATTCACTTCTAGGCATATAGTTCTTAAAAGTAATGTCTACTTCAGAACATTTTAGACTAAAGTAAAAATATTATTTTTAGTAACTGATAAAAATGTTACTCCTCCTTCCTCTACTCCCTAGTAACAATAAAATGCTTCCTTTTCTCTCGCTCCATTCTTCCCTCTCACCTTCCCTCCCTGACTGTCCTTCCTTTGGTAACCCATTTTGAAATTACTATATGGTACAAAGGAATATTATGGACCATTAAACATTTGAAAGACATTCACTAGTCTACAAAAATACTTCTTGATTAAATGCATATACACACACCATAGAACAAAACTGTGATTCCAGTTTTGTTAAAAGCACAATGAAAAACACCATCATGGGAAACACTGGAAGAAAATAAACATTTTTAACAGTGGTTATGTCTGAATGGTGATTTTTTTTTCATATTTTACAGATTTTCTCTCATGAGCATGAATTTATTTTTTTAATTAGAAATGACATATTATTTCCAAAAAAAAAAAAAAAGATGTGTGTCTACCATGGTCAGAAGAATCAACACTTGTTAAATGCTTATTGCTATGCACTCAGCATTTTGTCAATGCTATCTGATCTTTGAACTACTTATGTGAGATACATATTATCTGTGCTTCACAGATGAGGAAATGGTGCTCAGTGAGATTAGGTAATTTACTCAAGGTTTTGCATCAAGTAAATTGTGTAGCCAGGGTTCTGTTAAGTTTAAAAACTGTGAGTTTTCCCTCTGACTTGGTTGCCTCTCACGTAGATCCACAGCCTAATAGAGAAAACAACTATATAGGCAAAGAATTGCAAAGAATGTGATACATGTTGTTATATAAGTATGTACAAAGTACCATACTGGCATAAAGGAGGGGTTATCAGCAATTCCTGGGGAAGGAGAGAAAGGCTTCACAGTGTGAGTGATGCTGGGCTTGTAGAATGAATATGAGTTTGCCAGGAGAGCACAGTGGGAGAGGGAATGTCAGACAGAAACAACATTTGCAATGGCAGAGACATAGAATAGCATAGCATTTTTAGGGACTGCATGTAGATTAGTATGAATGGACCATAGACTGATAAGGAGCAGTGGGAGATAAGCCTGGCTTTGTTAAGGGGGGCCAAATCATAGCAAAGTACATAAGAGAAAGAATTACGACTTTGTCCCATAAAACAGGAGTTTTTAACCCTCTTCACTACTGGACCCTTAATGTTACGAATGAAGGCATGCCCTCTCCAGCTGGGTTTTAGGGCAAGAACCAGGCAGTTCTTTACTTTTAGTTTTCTTGGTCCTCATAAAAAATCATATTTACAGTATTCATGTTTTGGAAGGTACATAGAAATGCATATAAACAAGGTAATTTAAAGATATGTTATTTTATAAAATAAACTTTGAAATATAATAAATATGCTTTCTAATTTTCAGTTGGGGTGCTTTTATATTTAATTTTATTTTCCAGTGTGAGATTTCTATCTCTAATATTTTAACCAACTTTCCTACTCCTATATTTTATGATGTGTACCTTGAATATACTGATGAAAATCAACACCAATATATTTGGGCTGTGCCTGTGTTAAACCTAAATCTTCAACACAATAAAATATTTGTGAACCAAGGTAAGACATCCATACATACCACTCTTTCTCTGAGCTGAACCTAATAAGTCATCCAATCTGATAATTTAATAAACCACAGATTATAAGTTCATAGATTCCTTTTATTATATAGCATGCTAAAAAAGTAAAACAATAAGATTGCTGATATATTTAGAAATTATTATAAAATGTGTCAGGCTTATTATTATGAAATTATTGCTAAAAATGTATCCTGAGAAAAATTAGTAGAACTGTAAATTAGGGCTTCAAGTGGTCCTCAAGCTACTTTCTGGACAAATTAGTTTCTTTTGTTGTTTCCCATATTATAAAATCCTGCTTGTTCAGGTAATTTGCAGGGAAAATTCTTCCAAACTGATGAAAAGTCTAAACAATCAGAAAACATTCAAGCAAGATGGGTAAGACTATTAGCAGAAATTTCTTTCAGCAATAGCTTTTTTTAATTTACTGCCATCTTATCTAAAACAAGATGTAAACTCCTTGAGAGCCATCCTAAACAATTTGAAGGTGTTTTTTGAATGCCATCTTTTTTTTTTTCTTTTTATGATAAAAGACAGTAACTCTGGCAAGTGGCTTCTGACTCGGCGCATTTTCTTAGTGGATGCACTAAGTGGACGAGAAAATGACTTAGGAAGTCAGCCAAGATTAATTCGAATTGCTACACAAATATCACTGAGGTAAACAAATGTCTAATGCACTAAATTAGACTTGGACTATATGGCAAAATAGAAAGTGTTTATCAATAATTATCAAATGAAAATAATAAGGACAACTGAATTGAAACTAAACATAAGGTTATTTTAGATATCTGTGTAAATTGGTATATGCCAATAGAGATGAGGAGCAAAGAGGAGAATTACAACAGAAGAGCTTAAGGAGTTTTGTAAAAATTCACATTCCAGGCCTCACTTTAGACCTGCTGAATTAGAATGGATTGAAAGTAGAGGGAAGATGAATATTAGTGGGCTGAAATGGGTGTGCTAAAAAAAGCCTGCCAGGTGATTGCAGTCGGCAGGCCTCTGTCTTCATCTTCTTTAATAGCTACTGTTTTAGGTTGGCCCTGATTAACTAACAACCCCCTCCCTCTTCCTAGGCTACTTAAACAATGACCCTAATTTATGATAGTGCCATGCAGCCCTTATTTCTCTTTTCTAGTGCGAGATTTCTATCTCTAAGACCTTAACCAACTTTCCCATTCCATTATTTTATGATATATACTTTGAATATGCTGTTGGAAATCAGCACTATCATCTTACATTAGTCTGGCACTTCGATATACATTGTTTTTTCATTGTTATTTCATTTTGATATTTTTAACAATCGTGTGATATAGGCAGTACAGAAGCTTTGTCATGTATCTTGCCGAAATCCAAAAGTACTATGTTTTTAGCATTCCCTCAATCTGCTAATGTAGCATCCCTAGTAAAAATGAAATCGAACCTGGTCAGGCCTGACTTGATTTTGGTGAAATGATGGTGGCCCCTGGTGGTTGGCATTTTCCTTTCTGAGTTTTCAAACTGTACATTACCAATATGTTGAATTCAGCAAAATGTACCATACTATATGCCATAAACAGTACTAGAACCGACATATTTTGTTAAGAATTCATTTTTCTCTTTTGAAAATCAGTATTTATTTGCCTTTCTCCAGGCTTCATGTAACACTTTTCTTTTGAGTATTCCTCAAAGATGATTCATAATACTTTAGTGGTTTCATTTGTAAACTTCATAGGACCTAGATTGAGAAGAATTTCTAATTTGTGTATTTTACTATTAAAGTTTTGATCACTTAAGATAGCTCGTGTTGTTGCCATTAGTTTATGTTTAACCTTCCCTGGTCTTTATTAAGTGGTTGGTACTGAGATTACTAAGGCTGTCCATGTTAAATTCAGAAGAAACGAGAAGTTAAATGTATGTTTAAGAGCCTAGATGTATTTATAATGAGAAGCGTATTTTCTTTTAAACAGCATCCACCTTGTACCCAACACAAAAAATGGAAACATCTACTCTCCCTTAATTACCATTGCATACAGTGACATTGATATCAAAGATCCCAACAGCCAGTCTGTAAAGGTGAGTTCCTTACTAATCAGTGCTTCTGTAGATGTTAACATGGTATGCAGTTTACATTGTGGTCCAAAGGCAATTAGTCCTTATTCAAGTTTTACATAAACACTGTTCTTTATATAGTCTATTTTTAATTATTTTTTTATTAATAATGGTAAGAGGTGAGTCCTTATGGATTCTGGTTATAAAAAAAAGCAAGAATTAAGTTTTTTAGCAGATAGCATCACCAACAGTAGGACATCCCTCTTCAGGATCCTGGGGTATGCTGAGTGAGATGCAGTGTCTGCTCCTGTTCTTTTTGGCCACCTTATTCCTGTTAGGAATTTATATCCTTGCCTAATTAAACCAGGAACTCTACAGTGGGTATGTGTGTTCTCACCAGTCTTGCCTACTTGAAGACACACTTTAGCAGGCAGAAAGAGATTTAAATGATCGACTTTGTAACTAATAGTGTTAAAATGAACTAGAGAATTCAGTTTGGACTTGCAGCTAAGTAAGCTTCCTACTACTTCCCCACCTCAATTAAACTTAACCACAGAACTAAAGGCCTCCGCTGCCTAGCAGGGCCTGTATTTAGAACAGAGACTGTGTACACCATGAGACAGGCTGCACCAAAGAGAATGAGCCTGGAGAAGACTGAGCCATACATGTTCAGTTCCTCCTCCCAACCCACCCAGTAGAGAAAGCATCCTGCTTTGAAGAGGTAAATGAGAGAGTGATAGAGATCTAAACCAGAGGTAATCTTTTACACTTTTTCCTCAGAGAGATTAAGTGGTTATTCCCTTCCTTCTCTGGAAACATGAGAAATGGAGGGATAAGCATTTCTTACCTCCAAGACTCACTAATAGCTTTTAATTTCCCCTATTTTACTTTTCTGAATTTTAATGTTCTAGTTCCTTCAGCTAGTGCTTTTGGCCTCCCTGTTGTGCTTGTACTTAATTTATACTTAGGTACTACTAGATTTAGGCTTTCGTTAAGCAAAATGTAGGCACGTAACAACTTTTCTCTGAAATATTTACATCCTTGTTTGTATTATTACCTAATCCAATGTTAAAATTATTTTCCAATGCCTGAGCTTGTATACACTGTAATAAGAGTAGAACATCCAGAAAAAAAGGCTTAGTAACACAAATTTGGTTTAAAATTTCCTGGAGTGATCATATTTGAGTATATTTTAATATAAAACATTCCTGGATCTTTCTTTTAAATACTTTTCTTGGCCAAAATATTCCAAACTAGTCTTGACAGATTAAAAAATAAAAGAGAGAAAAAGTCTTGAGGAAATCATGAAACTATACTGACAAAGTTCACCTAAAATTGATTCTAATTGTAGAGTGTACAGTTCTTTCACCATTTCTTAATTTCTCATGACAGGTGTTAACAAAAATTCGACATTAGTTTTGAGCAGTCAGCAACATCTCTGCTCTCTCACCAACAGCAGATAACCTTTCCATATTTTATGAGCAGATCAAGACCATCCAATATGAATTCACTCACATTTCCTCTTTAATACTTCAGAATCTCTGTGATATAATTTCAGTATGGCTAATTTGCTTTCTTTTAAATATCAGATTTCTTTCTCTGTCAAATATGAAATGGATCAAGGAGAAGCACATGTCCAGACAGATGTGAGTTTATTTTAACCTGTTAAAATTTTTATAGTATATTTTTTAATTGAAAAATATTTTTAGCTATATAGGAAAGTTGTCAAAATAAATTTGTCATATATCCTTTACCCAACCTTTCCTAATGTTAACATGTTACATAACTATTGTATAATGATTATAAAAAGGAAATTAATATTAATGTAGTCCTATTAAATAATCTACTCTTTGAATTTCACAAGTTTTCTCACTGTCTTTTTTCTGTTTGAGGACATAGTCCAGGATTGTATATTGCTTTTTGCTGTCACATCCCCTTTAATCTGGGACAGTTCTCCAGTCATTCTTTGTCTTTCATGACTGACCCTAACACTTTTGAAAGGGTACTGGTCAATTATTTTGGCCTTCCTTTGGATTTATCTGATATTTTCCCATGATTAAATGTAGTTTTAGCACAGATACCACAGAAATCTTGCTGTGCCCTTCTTAATGAATTATATCAGAAGGTACTTGATGTCAGTAGTCTTACTACTGATGTTAACTTTGGTCATATGACTAAGATAGTGTCTGCAGAGTTCTCCACTGTATTTTACCATTTATAATTAATAAATATCTTGTGGGGAGAGACTTTAAGATCATGGAAATAGCCTACTTATTTTTCTTTTGCTGTCTAATCTTAGCATCCATTGACAATTCTTTCCTATAAAAAGCATTACTGTGATATTTGTGTGATGATGATTTTCTGTTTCCATCATTTCTTCTGTATTTGTCATTTGTAATTCTATAAAGAGGAGCTGTCCCTTTGAACACATTGATTTATTTATTCAGTTATTTATTTAAATCAGTAAGAACTTGTGGATATTTATTTATTCTTGTGATTATAATCCAGTACTATCTATTTTCTTTGTCAAATTTTCCCACATTTGGCCATTGGGAGTTCCTTCAGTCTAGCTCCTATGTCCTTCAAGTATACCCCCCACCATCACTTATTGAGTACTTTCTTACTTTCTATTTACAGTATTTTTGAACAGTTATTAGAGAAATTACATGAACTTCTAAATTTTCTTTTTTTTTTTCTTTAGATTGCTTTGGGTGTGTTGGGTGGGCTAGCTGTTTTATCATCTCTTTTGAAGACAGCAGGGTGGAAGAGGCGCATTGGGAGTCCCATGATTGATTTACAGGTATGGTCTCAGGAATTTTTAAGTGTATTTTTATCTTTCACTGTTTTATATCCTCCTAATAAGACACAGCTAGAGGATATGTAAAAAGTTTGCCTTGAGTTTCTCTGAGATATATAACTAGGGAGAGATATATGCACATCTCATTTCCCTCCCACATACAGTACAACTGACAGTGCTATTCTTGTTTCCTCACATCTTTGCCAATATGTGATATTTTTCCAGGCTTTCTGTTTCTTACCAATCTGGTCGCACAATTAGTATGTCATTGTTGATTTAATTTTCATTTCTGCGATTACTCTTCATATGCTTTACTAACCATTTGGATTTTCCTGTCTTTGAACTGCCTGTTTATATCCCTTACTCATTTTTCTATTAGATTTCCAGTTTTTTTAGTTTATTTAAAGGTTTGTTTTTTGTTTTTTGTTTGTATTTTCTAAATACGAATTCCCTTTTGGTTTTTGATGTTGAAATTTCTTCTTCAAGTGCGACCCATCTGTTATTTTATCTATGTATTCCTTTGTTTAACAGAAATTCTTAATTTTGATATTGTCACATGTGAATTGTTTTTCATGTTATGTGCTTTTAGGATCTTCCTTAAGAAAGCCTTCTTTGTCTCAAGATCAGAAAGATGTTCTCTCATGTTTTATTAACTTTGTAGTTTTACTTCTCATTTAATCATTTTTTATATTTGTTTTTGTTTTTATTTTTATCTATCGCATATCAAATATTCATAGTATACCAGGCACTTTTTAAAGATTTACATGTATAATTCATTTAATTCTCATACTAGCTCTATGAAGTTACGTATTGTTATTATCATTCCCATTTTACACATGACGAAATTGCAGCAGAGGTTAAATAAATTTTCTACTCATTTAAATAATTTTTACGGCAACTCAGTAATAGGTGGTATTTCCATTTAGCTGGTTAAGAACATGAGAAAGACAACAATGTAACTTGTTAGTATTGGGATCTCTTCCTGACTCCAAAGCCAGTGTGCCAAGGAATCAGAAGCCAGGGGCTTGATTTTACTGTTTGTGATAGTCAAGAAAGGCTTTCCAGAGAAGTGAACTTTAAGCTGGGTTATCTGTGCATTCCACAGATAGTCACTAGGGCCTACTTTCTGAATGCTAGGCATTCTACCACGTGCTAGGGAATGTGATAGTGAGCAAAGACTGACATGGTCTCTGCCCTCAGAGCTCCTAGGAGTTTGCCAGAGAGAAAGGAAGAATATTTGATTAAACAATGCCCATTTCATTCTACAAATTATTTGAGATGAAAGTGTAGAGTGGTAAATCAATAAGTGGTTGGAACTGGCAGATGAAGTTAAAAAAGTTAACTTTGGTCTAGGTCGTGAAGGACCTTATGGGTCAGAAATGTATATTTTAGTGAGGAGTCCCTGTACATTTTTAGCAAGAGAGTGACATAATCCAATTTACATTTTCGAAAGCTAACTCTGGTGGTAATATGGACAACAGATTGGGAAGAACTGTTCCAAACTAGGAGAAAATTAGGAAGCAGTTTTAACTTTTCTAGATGATGAAAGATGAGAAGGGTTGAATTAGACAGAGGCTATTGTGAACGTACCAAAAGGTATAGAGGAGGTGGCCACAGTTGGTCTTTTTAACTGTGGATACATGATCTGTGGATACATGATACAAGGCTTCAAGCTTGAGAAACTGGTGGATAATATGTTATTTAAAATAATGATATAAATATATTGAGTCTATAACAGCTGTAATTCTCTTTTTAAATTGCAGACAGTTATGAAATTCTTGGTATACTATGCCGGCGATCTGGCCAATGTTTTCTTTATCATCACTGTGGGAACAGGTCTTTATTGGCTTATTTTCTTCAAAGTAAGTGAGTTTCTGAATTTAACCTGAATGCCAATACCTGAATAACTGGTAAGTGCTCTTTCTAAAAGAACTGTTTTTATTTGGGATATTTCCGATTGAAGCAAACGCTAACCTCACCATTCCCTGAATGTGCTGTGTTTAACCAAGAGCATTACCACCTTCCTCTTTTATGCTTTCTTTGGGTTATAAATTATGCTTATTAAAAACCTTGTGTGTTCATATTTAACAGTGTAATTTTTCTCATAGGCACAGAAGTCTGTCTCTGTTTTGCTACCAATGCGGGCACAAGAAGAACGTTTTGTTACTTATGTGGGATGTGCTTTTGCTCTGAAGGTAAGTTTCAAAGGACAGATTAACAAATTTCAAAAGCCTGCTAATAAACTCATAAGTTTTTAAAATTAAAGTGCTTTCAAAATCTTTGGTGTAAAATTTAGTTTGATTTTGAAAGAGAGCGTGGATTATTGTATTTTACACAGGAAGTCTACTTTTATTTATAATAGCTCATTCTGAAAATCTTGCTTAAATAATTTTTCCTAAGAAGCTATAAATATGTATGAATTAACATGAGTTATAGCTAATTTGATAAAATGATACTTCTTTCTTCTTTAAAGTCTGATGATGCATACAACAAGGCAAAATGCCATCAGGCATGAATTTTGTCTCTGTTATGCGAGTAGAAGGTACCATCTTGGATGAAGTGCTGAAATCTTAGGAATTGTTTTCTCTGTCTCCATGTTCCTTTCCTCTTCTCCCCATAGCAACCCTTCTCCCTACTTCATTGTTCTGTCAGTGTACGTGAAGCTCTCTACATGCCTCTGTGGTAGATCTCATCCCATTGTATTGTGATTATTAACTGCTTACCCACTGATCTTTGAGCTCCTTGAAGAGAGGAATTATCCCATTCCTAGATTTTTAGCCTTTGTTTAATAATGCATCTACTAGGAAGAATGCCTGACTTTAAACACATTACTTCTATAAATGAAGAAGATGGATTTCAACAACACATTTTTAAATCTCAATACCAGAAATATAAAAAAAAAAGACTGTAAAACCATCTTACAATTTTAATTAGAACAAGCAAATTAGTTGAAAAATATCTTTACTTATATAGAAGTCACATGATCTAGAAAACAAAGTACATTTTGGAAACTTTGGGAAAGAGAGTCAATTATGCAAGGTCCCTGGATGAGGAGGTAGTATGTCTCTTTTTTTCATATCTCCATTGCAAAGAACATTGAAAGAAGGGAAGGCAAAATAATATGTGTATAAAAATCCTGTAAATTTGGTGATTCCATATTATTTGATAAGCTTCTCATGATCACCTAATGGTATTATAACTGTCACTTGTAAAAATTATATATTCTTATGATTGCAAGAATTAATATTGGTTTTATAAGCAGGCTTAATGAATATGCTTTTAGGTGTTTTGTTTGTCCTTCTCAGGCTCTACAATTTTTGCATAAGCTCACATCCCAGATTACCATAGATATATTCTTTATTGATTGGGAGCGACCTAAAGGAAAGGTTCTTAAAGCTGTTGAAGGTAACTGAAATAACCATTTGTACCAAAAAATTCTTTTGCTATCCTTGCAGAACAAAGATGGAACCTTTTTAATAATTTTATCTCCTGACCAGGTGAGGGTGGTGTACGGAGTGCTACCATTCCTGTAAGCATATGGAGAACATATTTTGTAGCAAATGAATGGAATGAAATTCAAACTGTGAGGAAAATTAATCCACTCTTTCAAGTACTTATTGTCCTCTTCTTTTTGGAGGTATAAACTATTTGACATAGTTGAATGCAATTTATGGGTACCTCATAAATGTTAATTTAGTTCCAGCTAAGTTTTCATGTCAGCAGAAGAGTTTTCTAAAGGTTAAAATATTGTTCAAGCCATTAAAAAGTAGTGGCTTTTTAAAAATCATGGTGAAATACACAGAAAATTTACCATCTTAACCATTTTTAAGTATACAGTTCAATAGTGTTAAGTACATTCACATTGTTGTGCAAACGATCTCTAAAACTCTTTTCATTTTGCAAAACTGAAACTTGTATCCATTAAATAACTTTCTATTCTCCCCTCTTCCCCAGCCCCTAGCAACCACGACTGTATTTTCTTTTTCTTTGAATTTGACTACTTTGGGTGAGGAGTGGCTTTTAAACCACTGGTTTGTAGCAGAATCCCCTGGGAAGCTTTTGCAAAATACCTATGGCTTGCATCACGCCAAGAGATTATGTTTGATTAAGTAGCTCTGAGATGAGCTCAGGTACTTTGAAAAAGCCCCCTCTCTCATGATTCATATTCTACTCGTCTATTAGAATCACTATTATAAGATCGAAATTTTCTAACAAATTATAATTGAACACCTACTGTAAATTGTGTTATGTGTTTAAGAGCTGGGGCTATGGGTGAACAAGACACAATGAATGGGTAAATGCTCTTTACAATTATTTCATGGGTCTGGTTGGAATTTTAAAGAAGGTAATTCAGTACTGTATATGGGACTGATAAATGGAAACCATGTCGGCCTTCCTTCCTTTTTCCTTCTTTTCTACATTTCTTCTTCCTTTCCCTTTTTAAAGCCAGGAGAATATGTGTGTCCCCAGGACATATGAATAGTATCTCATAGCTTTATTTATAGTAGTGCTTTTAAAGCTTTAAAACACATTACATGAGAAAGAAGTTCTATATTCGAGTAAATTTGGAAAACATTGAATTCAATACAGTTATATAGATTCCTGTACTATAAAAAGTATTTTGCATAATGCCTGGCATGCGAAAAACTTAAGAAATGCTGATTTTTAATTGGTAGTTTACTGAAGAAAGTTTTATTCTTTTTACAGAATTTTTGAGCTTTGTCAGTATATACGATAATAAGGTTTTATCTGGCCCATAGTCATATTGAAGAGAATGCCAAATGAACTAACTAAATATTTTGCATTAAGTACTTGGTAATTAAAAATACTGGATAATTATTTTTTTCTAGATTTTCTACTGTTTGTATGAACTTGAATATTTTTATTTTTGAAGATAGAAGTAAAAAGGAGTATCTCATTTTCAAACTAGGAAAGCTTTCTGCATTCATGACTGTTTAAATTATCATTTTTCCTTTTTACTCCAGGTTGTGGGATTCAAGAATTTAGCATTAATGGACTCATCCTCTAGTCTTTCCAGAAACCCACCTAGCTACATAGCTCCTTATAGCCGCATTTTGAGATATGCAGTGTCTACTGCTCTTTGGCTAGTCATTGGAATTATACAGGTAATAAGAGATATACTTTTAAGCAACACTGCCTCTATATTTATAACTGTTTACATACTAATTATCCTCAAACATTGACCACATTCTGATTTCTACAGCAGAAAAAGATGACAACAAGAAAAACAATAATAATAATTCTTACATAGTGTTATAATCCAGGCACTGTGTTAGTTAATCGCATTGTTCATATTAACTTTTATAATTTTTATAATAGCCCTCAGAATAGGTTCTGGTAGTAATCTCATTTTACAGGCGAGGACCCTGAGGCACAGAAAGGTTAAATAGTTGCCTCAAGTGATAGAATTTAGAGATTGGCAGAACTGCACTTGGAACCCAGGTAATCTGATTTCAGAGGTCACATTCTTTCAATAGTGGGGCTCTAAAGTTTTTCATAGTCTATAGTTTTCTAGTCATAGGATGGACTCCTTGTTTACTTTATATATAATTACAGGCTAGCTAAACTAACTTTAATATCCTATTCTCTTTTCTTTTGAAATGGAACTTATTTATTAACGGTTATTTAAATATCACTAAATCTCACTCAAATTACCAGTACCCCCCATGAAATTTTCTTTAATGAAATATTTATTGTAATAGCTGAAACTGAAAATAAATTTTCTCAGCCTCAGGTTCCACGGCTGTAGTAGAGGATCTTTTCTATGCTTGCTTCCATTTTCTGTGCTTTTTTAAACCTTAAAAGAAAAATAAGAAAGGAAGGAAAGTGAGAAGTAGCAGCTAAAGCAAAGCACTTAACACTAATATCTGCACATCTTTCTCTTGCTTTCAGACACTCTTAAGAATGTAAAGAGACTTTCTGTTTGATTAAAAATTCCTATAACCTGGGGAATAAATATCTGCCCCCAAAATATCTTTTGGGATTGAAATCCCCAAATTCCTACAAAATTGGGTTCAGGCGGCATTCTAAGACCTAAGAATAGACTCTTTAAATTTACATTTACTTTAAATTGGTGAGACTTGTTCAAACTTGAAGCTAAAGGGTTAGGGATAGAGCTAGTGAGGGATAGTTTGACAATCAGAAAAGGAAGAGAAACAGAAATTAGAATTTGATTTAAGATTGGATGAGGAGCATGGGATTTGATGTTTATCATCAGTGCAGTAGAAAATATTTTGTACATTTACCAATACAAGTTTTTGTGAATAGATCAGTCTTATCTGGATGTAAGGTAATGTAAAGGAATGCCATTTTCATATTTGGTCGCATATAATTAAAAAATAATAATAATAATAACAGCAGCCGAAACAAAAGTAAACTTTATCTCTCTCATGAGAAAGAAAGCGCAGAGGTGGGCAGTACAGGGCTGCTCTCAGACCCAGAAGCCTGTTGTTCCTCTCTGCCACTCAGGACTTCCATCTCTAAGGTCACTTCATGGTCTGTAATGGCTGATGGAGTTGCTGGAGGCGGGAGAGGGAGGAGCCAGGGGAGAATAGGTCACCCTCTCCTCTTTAAAAGCCTTTTCAGAAGTGCCATTTAACACCTCCTTGACCAGAACTTGATCCGGTGGCCACACCTTACTGCATTGGCATCTTTCAGCTGGGCAGCACTGAAAGAAGGGGTCTGTCACTAAGGAGCAAAGGGAAAGGATTGCTGGGGCATCAATTAGTGGTCTTAGGCACCACCATCTAACCTCCTCCTTTGTTTCCCATTCTGCTGTCATTCTGATAGGAAGGTATTTCTCAACATGGTCACTTTTTCTAAGGCCATCAGTGTTTAGTCCTCAAGGATCCTCAAGAGTTCCTTTAACAACCTGTTACAGTTCCATTAATTTGTCTATTCAAACTTTTCTTGATTTTCATCATGTTAGGCTTCATTGTTCACTCTTTTTATTTTCCTAAACTCAGCTTCTTCTACTTTTACATGGTATCCTTTAATTTTTACACTTCGAATGTTGCTGTTTTTCATGGACTTTAAGGGGGTTTAAAAAATATGTACATAGACTATTTAGGAAAATGTTTTTGGTAACCAGCTGCTGTTTCATTTATTTATTTATTCACATATCTGGGTACATTTTATATACTTGATTATTCATATACTGTGCTGAGCTCAACGATATGTTATGAACAAGTTACAAGCTGTGACGACACTATGAAGGGCATCAGCAGGGAGATTAGATAGCAGGTAAATGGAGGTGAAGGGAGTGGAAATTAGGAATGGGGAATGGCAGAGACAGTAGGGACAGCTTTAAATTGGGTAGTTAGAAAATGTTATCTTTCTCTGAAACATTTAAGAAGGACTACAATGTAAACTTTTCTGATTTCTAAAACTTCCCATTATATATTATCATTAAATCTAAGAAAACATTTGAAGCTATTCCATTTGAATATTTAACACATTATCTGTAGTTGAAGTAGAATACTTGATACATGTTTTTTATGTGCTCCTCTGTCAGAGAAGATTCATTTGAAAACAGCAACTTTTCTAAAAGCTTTTGGAATTTAGGAGATGGGTAGAATTGCAGAACCAGACATAAATTTGGCCATTAATACAGTGGTTTATCCTAAATGTTAAAAGCCCCTTTCCTCCTTCTCTCATATTTGTTCTCTCTCTCATTTTAATGAGACAGGAAAATTTTTTTTAATTCAAAATAAGTTTCTTTAATGAATCTTAACACAGTTCCAAAACCTTCCTCTTTTGACAGAAGAAGCAGAAATAATAAGTAGGATTTTATCCCACAGGAACCATTAGAGGCTACTGTGTTCTTGGTTGTAACTTCTTTTGTCTTAATATACTACACTGTGTCTATAAAAGAAAATTAAATCCTAAAAGCTAATAAGTGTGAACTTGACTTAATGTTTCAGATCGTGTTCTTTGCTGTCTTTTATGAGAGATTTATAGAAGATAAAATTCGACAGTTTGTTGATTTATGCTGTATGAGCAATGTAAGTACTTCCTGACTTTATCTTGCAACTGTTATTTTCCCTTTTTAAAGGGCATTGAGTACATTAAGAGAAGCTTTAAAAGTGATTTGATATAATTGGATTTGTAATCTAATTTCCACTGGTTGTTAATTCCAGAGATAGTTAAAATGAGCTACAAGTTAATATTTACCGTCTTTGGTTTTTTTTTCTTTTTTCTTTGCAGTTTCTTAATTATGAATTCCTTGTGCGAACAAAGTTCACCTAGCTTAGAGTCCTTAAAAAGTTTTCATTTATCAACTCTATTTCTTCCTTTCTTAGAAAATATCTTCACTCTCTTTTCTATCTACTTTTTAAAAATAACCTCATTATCCTTTATTACTTTATTATCCTCTTTATACATTTTCCAAGAATTGAACCCTCATTATTTGGAGAAAAAGGAAGCAATTTTAAGAAAACCTTAATATTTATTATTTTGCAGATGAGTTGCTAATTGCTCCTGTTCTTCTCTTTTTATAGATATCTGTGTTTCTGTTATCCCACAAATGTTTCGGATATTACATTCATGGTAGATCAGTACATGGGCATGCAGATACTAACATGGAAGAAATGAATATGAACCTTAAAAGAGAAGCGGTATGAATGTATTTTACATCTTTTTGTTTTTAAGTTGAGAGACACGTTTTCTTTTCTTAATCTAAGATTTGTAATAATATTTTTAAAAATCCTCATTGATTACTTTTGAAAATTGCTAGGGTACCAATTTGTTACCCTGAACATTGATAAAGGGAATCAAATTTAATTCTACAGTTCTTATATTAACTATATTTCAGAGTACCCAAATAAGACTAAATATTAAATTATATTAAAGAAGATTAATCTCATTATATGTGAAAATGACATGATTTTTTTAAGACCTTATTAGAGATACATACTGAAATATTTATAAATGAAATGACATTTGCTTTAAAAGAAAAAAAAGTTGAGAGGATAGATGAAACAAATTTGGTAAAATGTTAGTAATAATTGTTGAAGTTGAGTAATGGATGATATACTATTTCTCTTATTATGTACATTGGAAAAGTTCCACAATAAAATTTAAAAAGAAAAATACCTAAGAGGAAAAACCAATAGGGTTAGAATTTAATACATGATAATGATGTCTCAAAGATGATTTATTTAATACATTTAACTAGGTCATTTGGTTAACTACTAGAAATTATACCTGGATTGAAAAGTAAAATGTAAAATATGAAACTGTATAAACCTAGAAAAGAATATTTCAGATTGGGAGATGACATTTTAAGTATAATGAATAGAAAGCATCAAAAAGGGAATATCCATTGATTTTACTTTGTTATATAGAACATTTACATATCCAACAACCGTATAAATAAAAGACATGGCAAATTAGGGTAAAATTCTCATAATAAAAATCACAATGATATAAATGATAATATTGAAAGTCATACAAATCTATAAGCAAACACCAAGTTAAAACCTTAGTGGAAAAATGATAAAAATATTTTTAAAAATACATAAATAAGAAACAGAAGAGACTGCTAAACTTCTAAAAATTGTTTAGCTCATAAATAATGAATAAAGAAATGAAAGTAAAACTAACATTTCCGCCCTCTTCAAATTAGCAAACATTTTTTTTTAAAAGCTAGTACTTTATAGCATCATGGACATGGTAAAATAGGCACCCATAAAACTACTTGTCTCAGGATAAATTTTTACAAACATTCTGGAAAGCATCTGGCAACATATACCAAGAGCTTTTTAAAAGTTTGTTATTTTTGACTCACTAATTCTATGAATCTAACTCAAGGAAATGATTAGCAATAGAATAGCTAATTAAGTTCAGGATCTTCATCATGGGGTTACTTATAAGGGCAAAAACATATGTAAAAAGAATATTAAATAACTTGTTTTACCTGTGCAGTAAAATCTTAAATAGACATTAAAAATCATGTTATGTAGAATATTTACTGACATGGAGAGTTGCTCAGGAAATAATGTTAAGTGAAAAAGAAATTAGTATGATCCCAACTTTATGCCATTAATATGTATATGCCTAAACCAAAGACTGAAAATCAAATACTTTATAATACCTGTATCTCAAGGTGTTGGGATAATAGGAGATTTTTTTTTGTACCTCTTCATATTTTATAAATTCTCTGTAGTAACGCGTTTAATCGAGAGGGAAAAAACACACACTTAAAAAAATAGAGACATTTACTATTGCATATTAGGTTTAGACATTGCATATTAGGTTTAGACAAAGGTGAATATTAAGCTCTAGTGCAGGCAAATAAAGGCAAGAGAATGGAGGCAAGAGGACTTGAGCTGACCTTGAAGCATCCAGGGGAGTTGCAAGGTGTTGAGAAGAGCAAAATGTTATGTTTTTGGTTGTCAGGAGCCAGGTCATTTCAAGGAGACCTGAAATGAATAATCTAGTCCATAATGTTAACTGTTGTGTCATGTAACACTAGCTTTTATTGGAATTAAGGAAGCATTTTTAAAGTGTTTAGAAAACAAAAAGGATCATTTGTATTTATAAAAGTAGTTCCTTCTAAGCCTAGATTTTTTGGAATGCATTAAACAACAATAAAGTTAATCATAAAGCTAAGAATGTCAATATACAATGAACTTAATATGGATTTTTTATAAGTAGGACAGTAAAAGAGATGATAGACCTGCAAGGAGTATGACAAAATGAAAATCAGTAAAACCTAGAGGAGAGTGGACACTTTGGATAAAGCTAGGATCTCTTTGTCTCAAAGTTTCAGTTAAATTTTACTTGGCTTCTGAATTTTGATTTATGTGATACGAACTAAAAATGCTTTCTCTTCAAAACATAAATTTTTATGATCTTAATTTAAATCCTTTAACTTTTCAGGAAAATTTATGTAGCCAGAGAGGTTTGGTACCCAACACAGAGGGTCAGACGTTTCAGATTGCAGTTTCTAGCCAGATGAGACAACATTATGACAGAATTCATGAGACACTAATAAGGGTTTGTATAAAGTACAATTAAGATATATTTTGCCAATATTTCATATTATTTAAATACCAAGAACATAAGGAATGTTGCATTTATTCTTGTCTCTTTTTCACATTAGAAAAATGGCCCTGCTAGACTATTGAGTTCATCAGCAAGTACTTTTGAGCAGAGTATAAAAGCATATCATACTATGAATAAATTTCTTGCCTCTTTCATCGATCATGTATGTATGTCAGCATTTATATTTAAGCTAGAATCAAAATGCAGTTTTAAAAAAATTAACCAGGAATGTCAGTTATTTCTTCTGTCAACCAAGTCAGTGGACTTAGGAACTCCCCACCCCATTTTTTGTAGTCAAATTTAATACTGTGGCTTAGGGATAGAGTTAGGTTATGTAAAAGTAAAATGAGATTTTACATATCTATTAGCATTTTGGTGATAACCCTAAAATATGTCTGTATTGGAATTTTGTAGCTAGTTACCAAAATTATACTTTATTATCCATTATAGAAATATATTATGCCATGGTTGTATATAATAAAACTTATTATAAATTGATTTTCAGTTATATCTAGTTCTAAATACTACTAAGGGCATTTAAAATTAAAATATTCCTAAAGAGAATTTTATTATAAACCCAGTGTAGTAAATTCAGTCTTTTTGAAGAACAGATTTTGTTAGTGTACTGTTCATTTTTTTGTTTTCTGATTTTACAAAAGTTGGTAAACATTTATTACACTGTATTTTTGAAATGACTCTGGCTTTTTATATAAGGTTCATAAGGAGATGGACTACTTTATAAAAGATAAATTGCTTCTTGAAAGAATTCTTGGAGTGGAATTTATGGAACCAATGGACAAAAGCATCTTCTACAATGGTATCCTTCAAATGCCTTTGCTGAACTTGATAACTATTTTAAAGTTGGAAAAAGTACTTGCACTTGTTAATTTTTCTTTTGATTTTGTAATTTTATATAAAAACAGGAAACAGTGAACTTAGCTTCATGGAATTATAGTTTTCTGTATTCTATTTTGTTATCATGTAGCAGAAACAAATATAATTATTTACAAGAAAAGAAAAAAGCTGAATTTCATGATCAATACCATATATAGAAGAGATAGAAACAAATAAAATTCAGATTTTATTGGCATGTTCATTCAGTGGCAAACTTATGAAACACTTAACAATAGCATTTGTGATTAATTTTTAACATAATTTTTCATTTTCTTAAAAATCGCAGATATCTATAATGGGAATAGTGACTAGACATGGTTTCTTCTTATTAAAAAGGTAGTGTATGTGTCACTTCTAATGTGACTGATAAGCTCTTGTAATGCTTGGTAAGAATGAAAATGGTATAACCAATGTCCTGGCTTAGATGTCAGTCACCCATGCATGATTGAGTGCTACATGTTGTGCCAGTGGTCTCTCCTTTGAGCATCTTGTTTAGTAGACTGTGGAAGGTAGGTATATGACTGAGAGAGTGGAGAGATGCTGGGATAGATGTCTGTGCAGGTACAGCTTATACTGGGTATAGAAAGGAAAGGAGAAAATCTAACCAGACACAGGGTGAAGCCAGAGAGGCAACATGGAAAATTTTTAACTGGGTCTTAAAAATAAGTCACTATTGTCAAACAGAAGGGTCAAGGGAAGAGAGGCAAAGATATTTGTGCAGAAGGGGGAAGGGAATTATGCACTTAGGAACTTTATGATCAAAACTTTGTATGAAGTGGGACACAGTGAGAGTGCTTGAAAGATAAAGAGGGCAGAGACCTAATCCCAAAGCTTTGTCTGAAACCCTAAAGAGTTTTACTTTATCTCATAGAGCAGTTGTTTCAAAAACAATTTTTTTAAAATTTTTGTCCCACAAGAGGTATGCAGGTTGATCCATGGAGGTACGAGAAGAAAATATTAATATGTTTATTTGTATATTTACAATTCTCTTATGTTTAATTTATATTTTAAAAGGTTTATACATGCAGTAGTAATTTAAAATATGCCTGTTGTGGGATACATTCTCACAACATGCTATTTTATTCTAATAGAGATACCTGATTAAAACAATTTGGAAACTACTGTTAATTAACATGGATATGATCAGAATGTCCTAAGCAGATCTGATTTGTAAATTGGAAGAATTACTCTGGCAATAGTGAATAGGTTAAGGTGAAAACATAACAATACAGCTTTCAGAGTCGTCTGGTCTTAGATTCAGAATCTGAGTTCTAGTTTTGTGAAGTTGAGAAAGTTGTTTACCCTTTCTGAAATTTACTGCCCTCTGTAAAATTAAGTACAACCCTCTAAAGATTGTTGTGTTTATACATGTGTTACCATATATAAAGAACCTGGTATGTACCAGTACCTAGTGTGGGTAGGCACCCAGTAAAATGATGTTATTACTATTTCTAATAATATAATCATCATCTTCTTTGTTTTTATTGTAAGATGATGAGAATAATAGCTAAGGCAGTAGTAATGGAGATAAAGAAGAAGAAAGATAACATTTAATGTCAGAGATGTTAAGGGAAAAAAGTAGACAAAAATTATCCAGATTTCCAGCTTGTGCGACTAGGTGGTTGGTGGTGGTAATAGAGCGTACAGATAGAGGTCCAAGTTGTGAGGGAAAGCAGATGAATTTCGTTTTGAATATGTTATGTCTTGAGGTACCTTTGGGACACTTAAGAAGAGAGGTCCAAAAAGGCATGAAATATAAGAGACTGGATCTTTGGAGAAAGTAAAGGTATAGGATAAGCTGGGGAGCCTCATCAAATGAGGCCATTGTTGAAGCAATGGCAGTGAGAGATCACCCAGGAAGGGAATATAGAGCAGGCTTGTTTATTTTTTAAAATATATATACAAGTATTATAGATATATAGAGAGAGAAGTGCATATTTTATAAGGACATAGTGTAAAGGTCAGTGAATTTTCACACACTGAATAAATATATCCTTGTAACTAGCACCCTGATTAAAAAAAAACATTACCAGACTGCCAAATGTCCCTTTGTGTAAAAGAGGCATTCCTAACTGGGTGTCCATGGGCAGCTTCAGCAGTTCTCTGGACCTCCCTGAAATTGTGTGCAAGATTCGTATGTGTGTACTTGTTTTTCCCCCTCTGGTGAAAGTGTCTGTAGCTTCCATCAGAATCTTAAAAGGGTGTTTACATCCTTGTGAACTCAGAGGACTCAGAGCAGAATCTATTTGACACGCAAAGTATAGCATACTATGTACTATTCTAGTCTTTGCTGGTTTCGTTTTGCTTTTTAAACTTAGAGAATCTTTCGAAGATTCTTTACCCTTTAGTTATATAAACAGAGAAAGGATATTCATTACTTGGTCTTTGAAAGGTATTGATGATATACTTACACTACTAGCAATTACCAACTCTTGGTGTGAATGTTAAAACTTAATTTTATGAGCAGAGTTTTTTGACTAACCTTTTATATTAGCACATTTTAATATCCTTTGTTTATTTTTTTGTAAGCCATGAAGTATTATAAGTAGTAACTAGTTTCTATTATGCTGTTTTTAAATATCTACATTTTATCACCAGAAAGTTATCACGTTTATTCTATTTTTAAATTTCTAATTTATATCTTATAATATTTTTTAAATAGATGAAGGTTATTCTTTCAGCAGTGTTCTGTATTATGGAAATGAAGCCACTCTTCTTATTTAT